TGAACACAAAATTCTGACCAACACTTATACAATCACTCACCCTTAAATTTTACAAAAAATGAAGCTTTATTTCGATTGAAATTATGAAAATGACGGAAAAAAAAAAAGCAAAAAACAGTCCACTGTTTTGTTAACAGACATCACTCTTATTTTCTATAAAATCCAACTCAAATTGAATATATCTAATGATAAACAACACTACAAAGAATCAAAACCCTATAAATTTAATACATGATTTGTAAAATATTGACTGGATTTGATGGCATGGGGGAAAAAAAAAAAAACCTGAGTTTTTATATGTTCTTCGTGCATCCATGTCTTCAAACTCAAAATTGATATGTATTCCTCCAAGATAATCACAAATTATGAACACAAAATTCTGACCAACACTCTTACAATCACTCAGCCTGAAATTTTACAAAAAATGAAGCTTTGTTTCGATTGAAATCGTGAAAATGGCGGAAAACCTAAAACTCACTCTGCGAACCAAATTTGTTGATAAAAAACGGTAGTTTTTAATTCCTTTTATTGAGTGAAAATGATTTGAAATTTGAATTAAAGCCTTTAATATTCATTCATAAGGCTGAAAATGTTGAAAATCGATAAAAAAAAAGACAAAAAAAATCGAAATCCCGTGAAGAGCACTGTTCAGCCCGTGTTCTTCCGGGTGACTCGCGATTCTACTATTGGGACTCGGACAGAATCGCGAGTCTACTATTCGGAATCGTCCGGTTCTCTTTGGACACGGGCGATTCCCGTTTTTTGTGCCGATTCGACGCGTTTTGTAGAGATTCTCGAGTCGAACTGGGCGAGTCCGATTCGACTCGACGATTTTTTAAACACTGGTTTTGATTGTGGTTAAACAAGGGAGTCGACATCTTAGTTGAGTAATAGGTTCGAACCACTTAAATCACTTTTGTATTTGTGTTCAATAGGCTTTGGACATGTTTGAGTACTTTCATCCGGACCCAACTGCTTCATTGTTCCAACAGTGGATTGTTTACTTAGTTTGTTGTCTATAGATACCCCTTAATTTCAGATTAAATCTAACTTAATTTTCAACTTCGAAGGAAACTATGTATCAATGAGTTTTTGCAGTGGTTGAATGGAAATCCGCATTTTCTCATTGATTCCTCGACTATTTTTCCTTGAATTTGTTTATCATGGAGTCTCTGACCCAATCAACTGCAGGAAAATTAGTTTGGCCTCTGTAATCCCCATAAGATTCTCCCAGAGTAGAACTCCTAGAAAACTTAAACAATCACTTACCAAACCCCTATTTATGTCAGATGCTTTGATGAGGACAATTTATAACTTCAAAATAATGGGAGTATTTTGTACCTCGGGGTCTAGTTGAAACAAGGCCAAAATCGTTTACAAAAACTTACTGTCTTTAGACTCTTCAATGCTTTCTTGCAATAAAAAGTTCGAGTTTCAGATCTGACGATCACTGTGTTTGGGAAACCCTTTATGAGTGAAGTTGCTCTTAGTGATTTTCACTCAATTGCACCTTTTCCCTTTCTAGAGTTGTCCCTATAACCATGTTCGAGAAAACAATTTCGAACCCCAGATAACACTTAGTATTCAAGCAGTCTGAGAAACCACTTGGAACTCTGGAAGTCCTAGGAACACAATTCTTCAAAATTAAGCATGATTCTCCTTTGTTTGCTTTGGTCATAGTTAGTGGAAACTTCCTGTTTCTGATCAAGATTAGGCTAACGAACAACCTTTCTATTTGGCTTTTAGTTTGATTGAATTTTCTTTCTCTCTCACCAGAAAAAAACCAAGCCTTGGCCGTTCTACCTTGATTTCAAGTTGTTATAAGCTGCAGTTAAGAACCAGGCATTAATTTCTGACCGCGGTTAACCTGGAACAACGATCTTTGGCCTCTATGAAGCTTTGTTTAGACCTATTGAACATTAATCTTGTAATGTTTGACATTAAACATTTTGATCAACAGATTTCAGTCTAGAGATTGTTACCTTATGACGTGATGGCACCTATTATTCATTTTAACATGTCCTTTCACATCATTTTTTAGACCATTTGTTTTCTCCATTTTTTAGAACTTTGGTTTCCTCCTCTTGGCTTGCTATGTGTACTGATTTTGTGAAATTGCTAAATCTTTAAGTTCCAAACATTTAACTATTCTGGTTTCCAAACATATATCAAGAGCATTTGACAGAGAAAGAGAGAATCTACTAGATTCAAAACACGGACTCGGCCAAATTTGAACCGAACTCATTCCCGCCAAATATGAACCAATATTTACATGCCCCAGATAACTTTTTTCATTTTATTTTATTGTTCATATGAGGGTAATTTAATACTCATATCTTTTAATTTAATTTCAAATTTTTTTTTTTTTAAAAAAAAAACAGATGATCTTCAATTGAAATAGATCCAAATGTATAAATTATTAAATAGTTGGTCTCTTATAGATATTTTAATAAATTTCCTTTGTTTATAAATCACTCATCTTACGCTATCCGAATCTATGAAGTGGGTAGACGATCCACTTGTTTTATGATGATCACGAGAGTTTTTTAAGAGGGTGTATATTATGATCATGTGGGAGCATATTGTCCATCCACTCCTTCAAAAAGAAAAGAAAACCTACTTGGGCCATACTTAGGCCATTTTTTTAAATCTAAAATTATGGGAACCACCAAAATCATTAGATTATATAAAGCGTAAAAAACAAATCTTACAAAGAATACAATTTGAAAATTTTCTTTTTCAAGGTTAGTCAATGCGTTGACGATGTTACATCTCCAAAATTTGAGATCTTAAAATTACTTACGAATTGAATTTTACCTGAGGGAATAAATTGACCATATGACCCTTGGGGATCATGAAATCTTTTTCTTGTTGACATGTTACATTCCAAAATTTGGGGTCTTAAAATTATTCATAAATTAAATTTTACATGAGGGAGTAAATTGATGATATGACCCCTTGGGATCATGATTTTTTTTTTTTAATGTAACCACTCATTCAAACCTCTCTTAGGGATTACTCTATTCGAAAAGTTATGCGGTATGTGACGAGAAAAATGTACATTTGATCCCTTGCCGATTCTTTTTACGTTGCTACGGAACGGGCATAAGGAGCTATCAATTGAAAAATGGTGAGGTTTGTGCAAGGTGCCTTCTTTATATGATAGAAGTATATCACACCCCTAAAATTTATTTGAAGATGTAATGTGCCTTTTTTATATTATAGAAGTATATCTCATCTCTAAAATTTATTTGAAGATGTAATTCCGTGTCAGAGACTTTATGATGGCTTATCCAGTTCAAGTTTTTTAAATAATATAGATTGAACATATCTATAAATACTTTAAAATTTTAAAAACATATCATTCAAATAAGAGTAATGTTTTTAGAATAGTATAGATTGAACACATTTATAAATATTTAAAAAAAAAATAAAAAAATGTAGGACCATGTATGTAGGACTCTAAATGATTACCATTAAATTTAGCACAGGTCTTTAGAAAGTTACTACATGAGTGTGAGACTTAACTTTTCTAGAGATATGTACCAAATTTAATGGTGATCATTTGGTGTCCTAAACACATGGGTGTGGGAGGGTCTCATACGATCATTACTTTTCAAATAAATTGATCTAAAATATATTGTTTTTAGAACTTAAAAGTTTTTTATCTTGTACTAAAGATAAATTGTTTTAGGGAAATGGCCTTGTGAGACCCTCTTGCACCCATATGTACAAGACTTCAAAAGATTACCATTAAATTTGGTACAAATCTTTAGAAAATTCAAGTCCTACATTTATATGATAGTTTTTCTAGAGATCTGTACCAAATTTAATGATGATCCTTTAAAGTCCTACACATAAGGGTGTTGAAGGGTTTCACAAGATCATTACTCATTGTTTTATTGTATACTTTTTTTTTTTTTATATGCATATGTCTCAAAATTGAGATAATTACTTGAGGGCTCCCTAAGGTGAAAACACTCTCTTCTTGAGGGTTTTGGGGTCCACCTAACTCCAGTCGCATAACAGTGCTATACCATATTCCATAGGGAGCATACTACATATTTTCTCCCCTCCCGGAACGAATGGACAGATAGTCCCGCGAGTAGAAAATCTTTTCACATAAATAAGTTTTTTTGGATTGAAAAATAGAGCCAATCCGAGTATATTCGTCGAAACCTATTTCGAGAAACTTCGAGATAAACGGCCTTAATTCCCTTTGAGCCCCAAATTCGAAGATCCCAGTAACCCCAAATTTTGACGTCAAAACGTAATTTTACAGTGGGTTGAGACCACGGAAACCCTAATTCTCCATCCTTGACAACATAGGATTCAATTTCCCCATGGTGTTATAATTTTGAGAGAGAAGCCCTAATTTTCAACCTTTGGTCTAAGAGAATCCTACGGTTTTGCAATTTTGTACCTGTAAAAAACCATGGATTTCGAGCATAGCTAACAATTATTGTTTTCTGCACTTCAGAATCCTTGAAAACCGTAGCTTCTGCCTCGAGAAGCTTTTAATTCTGCATCATTTAACAGAGGAACTCTACCTTGGGAGTAGAATCCCTCCCTCTGCTGCATTTTACTCAAAAATCCTATCTTCTGACATAGGCACTCTAATCCTGCTAGATTTTTTTGATATTGGCTTTATTCCTGCAAGAAATCTGTCTGCAACATTTCGTAAAATGGATGCTTGTTTCTGAAATCAAAAGAGCCCTAAAAGCCAGATCCTGATTCAAGTCAAGCTCTACGATTTATACCTTTGAAAACCCCAATATTACTAAAGAAAAAGCACAAATCTGTAACTAATAGGTCCTGGCCTGCCCAAGATTGTGGCACAAGAAGCCCTAATTCCAAAACACTTGCTTTTGAATGATCCTTTAATGGCTCGCACTACTGTAAGAGCTGTCGGGTCTTCCTCTGTAACTGTTGAGGAACCCCCACCTCCTCAACGACAAGACCAACAAACGTTAGTGCTTCGGCTTCGTCGACCAAAGAAGAAGGTGACATGGAAGGAAGGTACAGTGGATAATGAGTTTATGCAGAAGCAGAGCTCTAAGAAATGCTGCATTTATCACAAGCAAAAATCATTTGATGAAGATGATAGTGATGAGGAATATGGTGATGGATATTGCTCGGTAGATGGACAGAATCATGCAAAAAATGGTGAGGGTTGCTCCAAGAACAGTGAGAATAACTCAGAAAATGGCACAAGTGGGTGATGCTGGCATTTCAGGCTATTGGTATTCTGGGTTTTTTTGCTCCTTAAATTCTGCAATTTATGTTCATTTTTTTTCTACAATTAAAGCTGATTTCCGTTTTATGGGGTTTTGTATTTTTGTGGTGTGAATTTTTGGAAATTTATTTATAATTTCATACAAAGTAACGAAATAACAGTTAATAATAAAAGGACCCGGTTTCTATGCGGCCAAGCCCGCATACGTAGAAATGCAGACTATTAAAAAATCTATTTTTGAGATGGAATTTTGGAATTAATTTTTAAGGACATGTAGTCTCTAACATGGAGATCATGAATATGAATGAATAAATAAATTTTAAAAACTAGAAACAATAATTCTAGTAAGAAAACATTTGGACAGTAGGTTTCCATTGTTTTTTTTAGATGGAACACCTACTTGCATCCATCTTTAAGATGGATGATTTACACTTTTTGGACAGCATATGTAGTCATGCGGTCCAGCCCACATGAAACAATTCTCCATAATAAAAAGAAAAGAAAAGAGAGATTTGGTAATTTCTGGTTACAGTGAGTTATGAAGTGAACTAAGGGATTCTTAATTTTTATTCTACTATTTTTGGACGCATTGGGCTTTTTATCTGTCTTTATGTGTTCGAATAATTGTAACATGTAGTGATTTACATTGTTTAGTTGCACCTTCGTATGCGCCTCTACTTAAGTGATTTACATTCTTTAGGTGCACCTTCTTATGCATTTCTTCTTCTATTTTTTTCATGAAATGGCACAAATATCTAATCTACATTTTAAAACTTGGCAAGTCTACTCATGACTTCTCTGAGTTGAACATGGCCAAAAAACTTGAACTTTGCCAAAAAAAACTTTAACTTTGACTGCACAGAATTGAACGCCTTTGCAGGTTCTGACATTCTATCTCAAGCCCATCTTGGGCCTCTGCTGTTTTTTTGAAATTTTTTTGTAGTGGAGCTGTTTATGGGATTAACCTATATACCGGTTTCTCTCAGGTAGATATATTTGCCTCTCATATGCATATGTTTTATATTATATACATAGATACATATGTTATATGTACATTGTTGAGGACGGTTAGGGCCTGAGTAGAGTTCAAGGAACTAAGCTGACGTGATTGTATTATCAATGAAGGCAATACAGTGTATTTTCTAAGAATAGATTGGGTTACTAACGTAGAACCTATTATTTCTTGAGTAAATACAATAGTATCCCAAGAATAGGGAATTAGAGACTGGATTGTCTAGTTTCATGGTCTTGATCCTAATACATCACTAAGACTTTGATATTCGTAAACAATTAAAGGAACAAATAGGATTAACATTAGTACTGCATGGGAAATTTATAAGGAAGGAAGACTTTGAAAGTGCATAGACAAAAAATAGAATCAAATTGATGAGAAAGAAGATTGAGTCAAGAACGAGGAGTGGTGGTATTTGGGTGACAAAACCTTCTTTCGTAGATTGACAATGTGAAGGTTATTAATAGAAGATATGGAGGAAGTTGAAAGAAGTGGTAAATTCATTTTGTTGAGTCAGTTCGAACTTCATATTTTTACCTTTAAGGTGCGTTAAGTGTGAATATCACTCCAATTTCAATTTGAATTGTTGATTTCCATGGAATGTGGGCTCAGTTGTTGTTAGTTGAGTAAAGAAAAGGAACGTGGCAAATTGATTGAAGAACTTCAGGAAGCAAGGTGTATGCGAGGGAATATGTGAGGGGAAAAAACATGAAAAGAAAATATGGTGGTTGCAATGTGAATATCTGAATTTCTGAGCAAACTAAAGAGCCTTGGAGAGCACTAATACACTAGATCCTTTCTGAACTTTGGAGTTAACCACTCTTAGGCCAGACTTGAGTAGTACTAATATTGGTGGCCTCTTGGGCATTGTGACTATCTAGGAGATTTGGAATGACTTCAAGGAAGTTGTAAAATGAGGATATGAGCTGCTATTTTTTTATGGGTTGCTTCAGTATGAATTGAACTTGCAACATAGTGTTGTAATTGACAACACCTTTGCGAATTGAGCCCAAGCCCGCTTCGTACTTATGAGCTATGATTACTTGGATATTTAAGAGGGACATTACAAAGGATTTGATGAGGAGATTAAAGATCTCCAAGGTCACAAGGAGCTATGGATTCATATGAAGAACTACCAAGAGCATTAATATAAATGCATATCTTGACTTGGTTGAAAGATGACAAACTGTGGTTAAGTTAACAAACTGAGGTTAAGTCAAAAAACAAGAAGGAAAAAAGAACAAAAAGAAATCGGTTTTAGCTTATGCAATGTATAGTGAACCCTCCTGAAGATACCTCCAAAACCTGCCTCCCTCCTTTGAATGAAATCTTTGAAGAAGTTGGCTTTAATGATGTTCTGCAATGTTCACATGATATGCTTTGATGTTCAAAGCTTCTCCAAGTCCTATACTCTAAGACGCGTTTAAGATTTTAGGGTTTTGGGGCTTTGGGGTTTTAGGATTTTTATAGGCTACAGAAGATATGGAGTCTAATTCTTCAAGTGGGAAAGGGAGTATACAAGGGGTTGTCACTCGTGGAGGGAGCTATGTACAGTACTATGTTCTTGTTAACCTTTTTGATGTTTCGTCAACCTATGTTCCCCCTATAAAGCCCATTGGTATATGGCATTGTCTTGTGAACACACCATATCATATGCTCTTTATGCTAAATGTATCTGTATAAATATTTTCGTTTGTGCAAGCAGCTTTAGAGGTGATAAAGTCATCTATTATATTGATAATAACACGGTTCTAGAGTTTCCCATGACTTTTCTCTTGGACAAAGTGAAGTTTTTTTTTTTTGACAGAGTGAAGTTGATCTCATATTTTTAACCCAAGTTCATTCTTTAAAGTCTGAAGATGAGATAAAAGTTACGATGTGGCTATCAAGGATAGTGATAAAGTTAGCAATTTTCACAAACTTGTATTTTTCGTGGCTTTCACTTGAACAGGGAGTAAATTTACCAAACCCCAGATCCTCCAAGGACGGTTGTATGGTGAGAGATGAGATAGGTGTTAGGATTTAAGAATCCTCTTAGATGCGGAAACAGGAATCCCAAAAGTTGGATCCCACTAAGATCGTGTACTGATCTAGTTAGAAACAAAATAGGAGAGAGCACGAGGCATAATACGAGAAATAAAGCATGAAACATACATGCCACAAGAACACAAAGATTTACGTGATTCACCCAAAGAGAGCTGCATCCATGGGCATGACAAATTGAAATCCGCTCTACCAATGAAAGTTACATCATATATTTTGGGACATAGAGTTACCTCGCTAACACTTGCCAAAACACAGTCGAGCAAACCCTTGTAGACCCTCTCTTCTGATCGGCACAACCCAATCTCTCATCTCTATTCCACAGGTAAACCACTGTCAAGGAAGAGACTCATCTCTATTCCACAGCTAAACCACTTTCCAGGATGAGACTTATCTCTATTGCACAGCTCAACCACTGTCCAGGAAGAGAACATTGAGAGCAACCAAGACTTTTTCTCACTATAAGGGGAAATCACCCAAAATCTTCATAGGAACCGCTTCTCTACAAGAAACCAGCCTCTCAATCTACATGAGGCATATTCATGGTGTTTCTCTCCATAGGAAGCTCTCTTCTCTTTGAAAGGGAGGCCTTGCCTCTCATGTACAGGAGGCCCCTGCCTCTCTCTGTATAGAGGAAGTCACTTTTCCCATATGGTGACCCAAATAGGGCACATCTATTCTTTCCTCTTTCATCTCATATATATAAGGTTAGGTCCCAATCCCACATAATATGGGATTTCCATATGTGGGTAATTTTGGATATCACCATATCCAACAATTGTTACACATATCTCAAAACCAAGAGATATAACCAAAAGACCTAGTCTTATTGGATTGATATTGATAAGTTTTCCAAAGGAAATAGAAATCCAATAAGACTAGGACTTTTGGTTATATCTCATGGTTTTGAGATATATGTAATAATTATTGGATATGGTGATATCCAAAAACTGCATTTTTGCATAGTGACTTAAAAGAAGAAATTTATATGACCGAACCTGAGGGTATTATTCAGGAAGGTAAAGAGAATTTGGTGTGTGGGCTGAAGATATCGTTTTATGGGTTGAAACAGGTACTGAGATGTTGGTACAAACGATTTGACTCTTTCATGTTGATGGAAGCTTTATTATGTAGTTATTGCATATCGATGCCATGATTGTTGCAGGACCAAACAAGGGGAATATTACAACACTTAAAGCTCAATTGGCTAGGGAATTTGAGATGAAAGAATTGGGAGCTATTAACCGAATTCTTGGGATGAGTGTACTTAGAGATAGGAAGAACATGAAAATTTGGTTAACTTAGAAGAGTTATGTGGAGAGGGTTCTGCGGCGCTTCAATATGTAGAATGCCAAACAAATTAGTAACCCATTTCTTGTGCATATGAAGTTGCCTTCAAAACAACGTCCTAGCACTAAAGCAGAGAAGACACAAGTGTCTCGAGTACCGTATTTATCAACAGTAGGGAGCTTCATGTTTGCTATGTTCAGCACCAGACCTGACATAACACAAGCAGTGGGAGGTGTGAGTACATATATGGCAAATCCTGGCCATGATCATTGGACTGTTGTGACGTGGATCCGTAGGTATTTGAAGGGAACTTACGATGCTGGAATTTGTTATAGTGGAATAGATTTGAAAGTCACTGGTTATGTAGATGCAGACTTTGCAAGTGATTTGGAAAAAAGAAGGTTTACTACTGGATATGGTTTTTCTTTAGGAGGTGGTGTAGTTAATTGGTTATCGAGGTTGCAGTTTGTGGTGGCTTTGTCTTCTACAGAGGCTGAGTATATGTCACTTACTCATGCATCCAAAGAAGCAATTTGGCTAAACAGGTTACTTCATGAATTCTGAGTTGTGTAAGAAGGTATTCTGCTTCATTGTGATAACCAGAGTGTCTTGTTTCGAGCAAGGAATCTAGCTTTCTATAACAAGACCAAACATATTGGTGTTCAGTATCACTTTATTCGTGATGTGGTAGAAGATGGAAAAATTTTATTGCAAAAAATTCATACTGATGACAATCCAGTAGATATGTTGACTAAGCCATTGCGAAGAGGAAGTTCACTTGGTGAAGGACTTCTTTGGGGCTTGTGGTTGGTTACTTGATGATTAGTAACAGGTGGGCAACAATTTCTTGGAGCAGACTAGTCAGAACGGAAACATGTTTTCAAGTGGGAGAATGTTGTGTGTGAAGCCCATGTTTTCCATTTTTAGGGAACTTCATATCTTTGATAACCACCTAGATTTCCCATATATATGGTAATCCTATTTTTTTTTTTTTAGGACTTGAAACTATGTGGATATGGGAAAGGGTGGTACGTGATCTTCTTGGGTGGTTTTCTTATCTTGAGGGAGTTGATATATTCTTTATTTTTAGGAAGATCATATGATTTAGGATGACAAAATTTAGATATGGGAATCACGTGAATCTTAGTGGGAGATGAAACCTTTCCTAACTCCTATTAGATGAAAGAAATCCATGGGAAATAGGAGACCCAATCAAAATAAGATAAAAAATGGTTTTCACGTGGGGCTCTTATGAGTTGTTACTCCTTATAAATAGAATTTTGTAGAGAGAGAAAAATACACATAGAAAAAGTGATGCAAATAAGAGAGAAAATGGTTAGTTTTCTTTAGTCCTTGGGTGGGTATTCTAGTGAGAGAAATACCTTTTTTTAAGGCTTAAGAGAGAGAGAGAGAGAGAGCTTGTAATCCCGTGTATTCTCCATGCTTGCATGGTGTTTTTCTGATTAGTGGAAGAGAACTTTGCGCCTTATGGATGTAGAGCTTGCTGAACCAACACACGTATTCTTTCCTCTTTCAGGAAAACACCATACAAGCATGGAGAATACAAAGGATTATAGGCTCTCTCTCAAGCCGTAAAACATAGTATTTCTCTCACTGGAATACCCACCATTGGGACTAAAGAAAGCTAACCATTTTATCTCTTATTTGCATCTCACTTTTTCCATGTGTATTTTTGTCTCTCTACAAAACTCTATTTATATAGAGTAACAACCCATAAGACCCCTACGTGAAAGTCATTCCTTCTCCTATTTTGATTGGGTCTTATATTTCCCATAGATTTTCTATATCTAATAGGAGTTAGGAAATGTTCCATCTCTCACTAGGATTCACGTGATTCTCATATTTAAATCTTGTCATCCTAAATAATAAGATCTTCCTAAAGATAATGAATATATCAACTCCCTCAAGATAAGGAACCGCCCAAGAAGATCACATACCACTCTTTCCCATAGCCACATGTTTTCAAATCCTATAAAAAATAGGATTACCATATATATGAGAAATCTAGGTAGTTATCAAAGATATGAAATTTCCTTAAAATGGGAAACAAGGGCTTCACAAACAACAATAGGAGCAGTGGAACAAACTCATTTATGGGCATTGAGGGGAATGATTCTATGGAAGCTGAGGTGCTCACAAATTTATATTTGTGGGTTGAGCTAGCTAGGGTTGAAACTTGGACATTAGTGCTTTGGCCATTACACCACAAACATTAAGCTCCCTCAAAATTCTTAATGTTCTCATGTTATTCTTGCTACTCTGGATGTGGTTTGAAATATATTGAAGTTCAGATGTTACCATTCCCATGTTCAGAAACTTGTCAGCTTGAATGTGGAGTTCTTTGCTGGAGCTAAATTTCTTGGACTAAGTTTCCAACTTTACTGTCCAGCCCACTTTTCATTTGTGCATAGATTTCCAGAAAAGCGTTAGGTTTTAAAATGCCTAGCCAAAATTTTTTTGCTTATCGGTGAAAATGATTTCTTCCTTCTATATGTGTTTTATTTTGTTTGTCTTTTATCCTTAAGTTTACCCTGACCTGAGAGAGCCCAGGTATGCAAAGTACCTTTTTTGTTTTTTGTTTTTGGGAGGGGGTTAAATGATATATTGAGTTGCTTATACTCTGTTCTCATAGTTGCTACTATGAATATAACTATGATATCAGAATGTTGAGGTCTACCATCTTCCCTCGCTGAGATAAACATGTATCTGACGGATGCAACGAGGATTATTTACGCTATATGGATTGCATTCACAAAAGACTTTAGCATTGTAATACATTTCAGTTGTATGATGGTCATTGTTGGGTTCTATATATTGTAAGCAACGGCATTCTTTACCTAAAAAATTGTTTCGTTTTGTGATGTATATTTGTTGTACATTAGTTATTCTTATATAACCTAATTTCATCCTTTCTGTCCCATGATTCCTAGTTGTGCATACGAGTCCCTTGTATATCTAATGCAAAGAGAAATTTAGGACAGGGTTGCTGGGAGTGTTTCCTCACAAGCATCAAGGTTCAATGGTTTTCATTTTCTCCTTTGTTCATGTATCCTGCCAAAATTTGATGAGAAATGTGTGAACTGAGTTCTAAAATATTTGTGCTAGATTAACATTTACGCATAAGCATGCCAATAAATCGGGCGATAGATAACATTTGAATGAGATCTGCATAAATTATTGCTGTTTATTGCCCTTGGATATAGAAACTGTTAGAAGGTTTGGCGTCTCACATCTTTTACCTAAGCGATAAATAATCATCGAATCTTTGTTTATGGATACACATATATTATAGCTGTTTATTGCCCTTGGATACATAAACTGTTAGAAGGTTGGGCCTCTCACATCTTTTACCTAAGCAATAAATAATCGTCGAATCTTTGTTTATGGATGGCACATTGTTACTTGCTGAAATGTTTGTTGAGTAGACATCTCCCACAATCTTTTCCTAAGTTAATCTATTGGAACAACTATTCCATGCTTATATAACATATTATTTAATATAGTATGAAAAACAATATGGTGATATGCAAATAGTCTAGCATCAGCAGCCTAACATGATCATCTTTTCTATCAGGTTTCTTGCGAGCATGAAATCTGGATCTTTTAGACATGGAGATGGCGGGGCTTGAGTTTCGTGAAATTTTATTGTATGGTTTCCACCTGTTGATATACTTAAGAGTTTACAAGAAGAATCAGTGAGGTTTGTTCAGGCATTCTATTTTGTATGAATTAGACTCGCAACCCAGCCCCCAAAAAAACAAAGAAACAAAGAGAGCGTGCTTTTGTGAACTATGTACGCAGCATTTGAATGTAAACAACACTATTGAAATCTGTGGCTCTGACATTCTTGTCTGATTGCTTCCAGTGGAGTACTAAACATTGGGTTACTCATGTGTACCACAAGTAAATAGCTGCCAATGTTGAAAGTTGGCTGCCACAGTTGCCTACAAGCTCTGGGCAGGCATCTCCTCGGTGCCCGCCTACGTAGGCGCAAGGCGGGCCTGGGCACCTGCCTGCTGCCGCTCCCTTGAAAAAATAAAATAAAAAAAGGTGTACCCACTTAAAAAAAATAATTAAAGGTCTAGCCCTTCTCTCTCTCCCTTGTAGGCACATGTGCACTCTTAACATATAAGAAGAAGAAATGGCCTCCAAGGATTTGATTCGAGGCCCTTCTCTCTCTCTCTCTCTCTCTCCATCTCGTCATATCAACATATTAAAAGAAGAAAAAGAAGAATCTCCTCTATATATTAGAAGAGAAAGGAGACGTCTGTCACAAACATAGAAACATATGCTCTCTCTTACTCTATATATAAGATGAGAAAATAAATAAAAAATTTGATTTTTTAAGGCGCACACTTACATATACACACAACATATGGCCCCCACCGTAATTCTGCCCAGGTATCTGGGCACCTACCTCCGCCTATTTTGAAAATTGGTCATTGGTACTAGATAAAAATCAAATATTTATTCAAGGGAAAATATTTTTATATTTTTTATTTTTAGGTTTCATTTGTTGATAAACTCAAAAGTTTCAAAAGATATTTTTTAACCACTTTAAGTTTATTTTTTAATCTAAACAAATATGAGAAAGATATGTTTTTTTAAATCTAATCATTTCTATCTTTTCACTTATACATATATCAAATTTTTCTATTTTTCTTTCTTCTTGTGATTATCGTACTCTCTTTCTACCTGTGTTTCTCAAAACACCTCTCTTTGTCTTCCCGATAATTTTTCACCTCTATGAAGTTTTTTTTCCCTCTAGAAGTTACTTCTAGGAGGATGGTTTTTTAAAAAAGACAAATCTTTTTAGACTTATTTGGCTTATAAAAACAGGTTTAAATTAGCTCAGGGGTAAAAATAAATAAAATATACAATTTTTTATGTTCCAACAAATCTTTTAAAACTTTGGGTCTATTGTGAAATGAAACTTAAAAATAGAAAGTATGGAGATATTTTTATTTTATTTTATTCAACTTTATGATTTTTTAATTGTCTTAACAAAAATGATGAAGAATGTGTAGTTTGCGGTGTGGCTGCCCCTTTGGGGCATGATGTATTCTCTCTTTTTCTATTAGAAAATGGGGAGTTCACTTGTTCCGATATTGGAATAATTATAGAGCCCGTTTGGATAGAAGGAAATTAAGAATCTTAGATATTTGAAATCCTAAAAAAATCTAACGATTTTCAATATTAAGGATTTTTGTCATGGATTCTTCAAATATCTTGTATGGATAAATTATACAAAATTAATGGATTCCTTGAATCACTTCCATGTCTATTGTTTGGTAACAAAACTTGATACAATTTCTGTCTCTAAATTTTTTATATGCTTTCTCTCTCTAAAACTCAAAATATGGGATAATGTGTTTATAAAAATTTTGAGATAGTTTCTCTCTCTAAAATTTGATATGGTTTCTCTCTCTAAAATTTAATATACTTTCTATCTAATTTTTTAAATTTGAAATTATCTATCTAAAAATTTTGAGATAATTTTTCTCTCGAAAATTTTTAGGTGCTCTACTCTCTCTAAAATTTAATATAGTTTCTCTTTCTAAAATTTTGAAATAGTTTCTCTCTTTAAAATTTGATAGTGTCTCTCTAAAATTTGATATACTTTTTATCTCTAAAGTTTAAAATTCGAAATACTTCTCTCTCTAAAACTTAAATTTTAAGATACTTTCTCTAAATTTTGTTGAGATAGTATCTCTTTAAATATTAATGTACTTTCTCTATTTAAAATTTGATATAGTTTGTCTTTCTAAAATTTTAAAATACTTTCTCAATCTAAAACATACATTTTGTAATAGTTTCTCTTTCCAAAACTTTTTAGATAGTTTCTATCTCTAAAATTTTTTAGGTAGTTTCTCTCTAAAATTTGTTATAATTTTTATTTTTAAAATTTTAATATATTTTCTCTCTCTAAAATTTCAAATTCGAGATAGTTTCTCTCCTTTTGTCTCTTTAAATTTTTTTTTTGCAAATTCTCTTTCTAGAATTTATAATAATTTATCCTTAAAAGTTTAATAATACTTTCTTTCTCTACAATTTTAAGAATACTTTATCTATCTAAAACTTAAGATTTGACATAGTTTCTCTCTTTAAAATTCAAAATATGAGATTGTTTCTATCTCTAAAAGTTTTGAAATAGTTTCACTCTCTAAAAAATTGAGATCATTTCTCTCTCCAAAAAAAATTGCATGTACTTTCTCTCTTTAAAATATGATAGTTTCTCTAAAAATTGATATAGTTTCTTTCTCTAAAATTTTGAGATAGTTTATCTCTCTAAAAAAAATTGGTACTTTATCTCTTTAAAATTTTAACATACTTTCTCTCTCAAAAATTTAACATACTTTCTCTCTCTAAAAGTTAAAATTTGAGATGGTTTATCTCTCTAAAATTTTGAGAAAATTTATCTCTCTAAAAAAATTGGTACTTTCTCTTTCTCAAATTTTAATATATTTTATCCCTCTCTAAAATTTTAACATACTTTCTCTCTCTAAAATTTTAACATACTTTCGCTCTCTAAAAGTTAAAATTGGAGATAGTTTCTCTCTCTAAAATTTTGAGATAGTTCATCTTTCTAAAAAAAATTGGTACTTTCTCTCTCTAAAATTTTAATATACTTTTTTTTTCTAAAAGTTAAAATTTGAGATAGTTTCTCTCTCTAAAATTTTACGATAGTTCATCTCTCTAAAAAGATTTGGTACTCTCTCTCTAAAATTTTAACATACTTTATCTCTCTAAAATTTTAACATACTTTTTCTCTAAAATTTTAACATATATTATCTTTAAAATTTTAACATACTTTCTCTCTCTAAAAGATAAAATTTGATATAGTTTTTCTCTCTAAAAACTTTCAGATAATTTTTCTCTTTAAACAGGTTTTGGTGTAGAAATGAAATAAGGAAAAAGTAGGCCTTATTTACAATATTTTGATTTTTCTGATTTTAAGTATCTTAGTCAATAAGCAATCCAAATAATGGATTTTCGTAAAATCTAAAATATTAGAAATTCATGCCTTAAAATCCATGTATCCAAACGGGCCCTAAAGGTATAGATTACGATTTCAAAATGTTGGGATTGATATCTCAAAAGATGGAGATTGAGATCCCTAGCATTTAAGGATTTTGAACCTTTATATTGTATTCTATATTTCATGATACCCTCACTCCCGAAAATACCTGCTTCCAAACCGAGCAACTATGATTCAGGTAACCCCCCATTGACAACTCAATTCCAGTGAAACTTCCTCATCATCTCTCGACGCTATTTCTGTTCCAACCATGGCTGAAAGATGATTACTCATCTGCAATTTCAGATTGCTCCTATTATTATTTGGTGGATTTTGGGCAGATTGAAACGTTCTCCCGGGCACTAGGCATTGTGAAAGTCATTGATTGATAAATAAGCTAAAGTCAGCTCGGAGTTAGCTAAGTCAGCCCGGGCACAAGGCATTGATTCATAAATAAGCTAAGTCAGCCCGGGCACAAGGCATTGATTGATAAATAAGCGAAGCCATTGATTGATAAACACGCTGAGTCA